TTCGGCCAATATAGTTTTCCACCGATCTTCGGTCTAACTAGAAGGAAGAAAAATATGAAAAAAACTTTTTCCAAAAAGTGGTAGAAATCCCATGGAATCACCCATAGACAAACTTTGACTTGTGAACTGCCATATTTTAGAACTAAGAAGTTCAATTGAAAATTTTCCAAGTGTTGTTTATTATTAGTGACTTGAATGATCTCTTATGTCTTCATGTATTATTCTTATCCAAATATATATGAGCGTTCATAGTTGGTTTTGATATTTGTAATAATAGAAAAATTGAAAAGTATTGAGACGATCTTTAGTAATATAATTTAAACAAGTGATTAGTACCTCGTAATTATAAATATGAAAATATGTCATTGTCTCTATTGTATCAAATATTCTTATTTGTCTGAACATAGAGATAAAGTTTCTATTTCGGACTACTACAGATGTGTTTGTAAAGTTTGATGTACATTGATATAATATATTTGCTCATCAATTACAGGAATTGTAAGAGGTGATTATGGTTTTCATGATACCGTAATTTAGACAAAAATTATTATAACAATATCACTTATATCTACTACTATTGCCGAAATATTAAATTCCACTCTATGAAAATTTTCTTTTTTAATGATTGATTTATGATGATTTCATTTATTTCTTTTTATACTGTTTCATTTGAGTTGAACATTTCTTTTTTAAAAATAAAATTTATATTTTACTATGTTAACTAATTAATCGACATCACGCGAATTTACTTAAATCAAAGAAATCTTTCCCATCATAAACTATATTCTAATCCACTTTAATGAAGAAAACTATTCACACTTTTTAATAAAAAAGGATTCTTTTTTTTTGTATTTACTCTCGAATGCTTAACATAGATTTAGTTTATATTAAAAAAAGTTTCATAAAAAGGTATCATAAACCATGTTATTTGAAAAGAAGTGCTTTTTTTTACTTGCTATGCTTCAGATGAAATGAAATGTGTATTGCTCAATATAACACAACATTCTAACTGACATGAAAGAATAATAAAAAAAAATAGATGTATGACATTGTGAATATCTGTCAATAGTCATTAAGCTGTTTGTTATTCCAACATGCTGCTTAGTTTGACAAGACATCATTGTCTTTTTTACATATATTTATAATTCTTTCAACAAACAAGACTAAGATGACAGCTAATGGAATAGTTGCTTTTGAAAATTCTGAAATATCATGGCCACGTTCAGTTCGATTTTGGCTTTTACTTATATTTGATATTCCATCAATAGCATGTTCAATTTTTGTTCTTTATCATTTATTAATGAATAGAAAATCTCGTTATGCATTACATAATCATACAATTATTATTTTATTAATTATAGCACTTATGTTTCAATTAACTGATATACCATGGTATCTTGATTTTATTCGACAAGGTTTTGTTTGGCCACAAAGTCCTATTCGTTGTCTTACATGGTGGTTAATTGATCTTGGTTTTTATAATACAGCTTCACTTATTCTTGTTTGGACATCAATTGAAAGACATATTCTTGTTTTTCATGATCGATGGATATTAACTTCGAAAAAACGTTTTTTAATTCATTATCTTCCATTATTTATACTTATTCTTTATTCAATTATTTATTATACAATTGTTATATTTTTTCCACCATGTCATCATACATATATATATGTATTACCTGTATGTGCTGCATCACCATGTCATCTTTTTCATCCTATATTAGGTTTATGGGAAATGGGTATACATGGATGTTTATCAACAATACTTGTTGCATTTTTTAGTATTTCTTTACTTATTCGTGTTATTGTTCATAAACATCGTCGTCATCGAGTATTTCGATGGAAAATCTATCGTAAAATGATTATTCAATTATTATCTATTTCAATACTTTATTTACTTTTAAATTTTCCTATTATGATTATGTCTGTTGCACATCTTTGTGGTTTACCAGCATATGTTGGTGTTGAAGCACAACAGATCACATTTTTTCTTACATATTGGGTTATGTTTCTTTTACCATTTGTAACATTATCATCATTACCTGGTTTACGAAAAAAAATATGTACAATAGGATTTTTAAAATGTCATCGTCAAAAAACTTTTACTATGACAATGAAAAGAATAATTAGGGCCGATTAAAATCCACTATATTAAACATGTACTTCATGATATCTTTCGAGATTGATTTATTCAGAAAAATAAAATAGACATATTAAGAGAATATTACATTATTTTTGTTTTTTCTTTTGTAATATCTGAGAAAATCATACTTCAGACAGTAAGAAAATAAACAATTCATAGTAAAAAATAATGTTGTCGATATGTTGATAGAAAAATTCTTACCATTTTTAAATCAATACCATCCTACTTCCTATTAATCAAATGTAAAATAATACTTTCTTTTTGATCGTGAGAATGAAAAGCAATACGAAAGTTAGTTACTCTATCATTAAATGTTATTATTCTACCGGTAGGTTATGTCGTTAATCAGATCAGGAAAGAATAATCTTCATGATATAACAGTGTCTGTTCGATATTTCTTTTTTCTTTGAAAAACAAATCCTACTATAAAAAGGATATATGTGTAGATGTCTATCTAATGAAATGTCGTACCGAACAAAAAAATGTGATCTAATAGGTAAAGTAGAAAACTGAACTGTAAAGTTGATTTTTTTCTATGTCAACAGACGGCAATACAAATGAAGAGGTCAAAATACACAAATAAAACCAGCGCACACATCAAAAAAGAATATTAGACGAAACGATGAATGGAATTTGTTTAAAAACTAATCCAATCATAATGTTTGTTACTTCTTCTTTTTCATGTTCAATATATGTTTATAATTCATGCAGTATTATTATCATCTTCTTGGATTACCAAGTCAAAAGTATTCGACTCAGTCTTTTGTTTTCTTTTGTAATCTACATGTTAACATATATCTTTTGGATAACAGTGTGACCTATATTGTAATATTCAAGTCTAAATGGAAACTTAGTGACAAAGATATAAACAGAACAAAAAAGAAAGTCCATACTTGTTTTAATTAAAAGAGAACAGAATATTCTAGTTTTATACAATAGTTCTTTTATATTTGATATTATAATGGAATATAATTTAGCTCATTTATTGCTTTTCGATCGCTTCGTTGCCATGAGAATTCTTCTTCCACTCAACAACGCATGAGCCACGATTCAAATCGTTCTCAGCACTTCAGCATCATTTCGATTCGAAAAAAATCTTGATGTGATCGTGAGAATATGACGAATGCACACCTGAAATCTTTTTTTTGTTGAAGTTCGATTGTATTCGAGAGATATAAGTAGGTGGAAAATAATAATTAACAGTTAATAGTTTCCTTATATGGTAATACATGATATAATCATAAAGCGACCGTTCATCTCTTAAATGGTAAATGTAAATATATCCTTTAATTATAGTCTTGTATGACTTCAATTCATCCATGAAAGAGTCTCAAACGTTTAGAATAATCTTGACATGGTTTATACACCCGAAATGCCAAGAACAATAATGAACAGTTGAGAGTTTTATTATCTTTCACTGCTCAGCTAAGTCGAGATAGCTGAACACAGCTGGCATTCATTATGATTTCTATCGTATAGGATCGTCTTCTACCAATTTCCGTACTTGTGCAGTCAGCTGCCTAGCTCGAATGACAGTCTAGTTTTTACGTCCTTTCAAACTGGTAATATAAATTTGATTTCTGCGAGAAAAATAAATCTCTCATTTGATTAGGAAAAAAAGAAAGAAAAAGCGAATTTAGGAGTCCTAGATTCTGCGGTTTTCGATAGCCAATAGAATTTATTTTGTCTTCCTTGATTTCAGATTATAGTCAACTTTAGTGAATTCTAATGAGCTTTTAGTATACGTCGATAAACCTATTTTTGAGTCCAAGATCTACGGTTTCCTACCATAGATGAGATCAGTTTGATTTCAGAAAATCTCGAACTGATTCAATCTCTGTTTCCTACTTGAATATACTAAAAATTCGTTGTAGTTCTTATCGAACGAACTCATCGAGAAACTACTGTAAAGCAATAAATATTATTTAGATATTTATTAGTTATATATAACTACAAGAAATCCTATTTCTGTTTATTGAAAATAAAATTTTTATCGAATCTTAGATATTTTTTTCCTGAGTTTGATAATTTCAGTGAACTATATTTATTAGATAATGTCTGCTTACAAAGAGTAATAAATCAAATTTATTGACGTTTTGTTGCGTCTATTGCAAGACTAATCAATAAAACCTCTAATCTGATTATCTGTAAATTTACATTAAGAATTTCTTGTTTTCATCTGATTAAGCATATTCATAATTCTTCAATGTAAATTTAATTGCTACAATTAATTTAAAAATAAAACTACAACAATGACAATCATTTTCGAAAGCTTCTTTTTTTTTTAATATAAGATTTTACATATATTTAAACATTTAATGTTTAACTAAATCAAATAAGAAGAAGTTTAGTAAAACAATATCATATGATAATCTATGAAACTACTTTCTTATGTGCATTTTTGGAGAAGAATGATGAAGAAATGTGTCACAAAATAGATAGAATAAAACAATTTACTTGTGATTAGTTGTTGCAGTTACATCGTTTATTACATTTTAATTTCATAGGGATGATGTTGACAACTTGTTTTTCGTCAAATCAATAGATATCTGAGAGAACAAGAAAAAAATACAATACAAAACTTTGAATATTCAAATTGAAATTACAACCATCAAACATAATTCTATCTAATATTTATTTGTAATTTGGAAAAGAAAAACAGTTTTTTTTTTGTCACATAAGTATATAGCTTACAGTTAATCTACGTAAAATAAGCATATTTGTAGTCTTATATATTTCATTAAGTTATTTTTCAATAATAATTTTTTTTTTGTTTGGCTTCCTCGCAACGCGAACAACAATCGTTGATGTTGAATGTATGTCTTAGACAACGAACAATGTATTTGTTGACAAGAGAGAAATTGGAAGAATTCAAATGAAGCATATGTCATTATTTTGAATAACTAACAAATTTGATTTGTCATTGACTATGGAAGAAAGAATATCCCGTGGGTATTTTCATTTATTTTTGATTGTAAGTGTTGCATCATATTATTAAAAAAAGTGATGTTTAGCTTTTTTTTTTCTATTTCTAAATAGATGTTATTATTTGATATTATTTTTTCATCAACTCTTACAAATATATGTCCTGATATTATTTCGTGCAATTGTACACTTATCAATAATACAGATTTAAATATAATTTGTAGTTCAACACCATCTCTTACTCAATTACCTACACTCTCACCTAACACACTTCAAACAAATGTTAAAGAATTACGTATTATTTCATCAATAACGAATACTAAGGGTCCTCTAATAGCTTTGCCAACAAATATTTGTTCTTATCCAAATCTTGCTACGCTTGATTTATCATCAAATAATATAAGTGGTCTATTAAATACATCTGAACTTGCTTGTTTAGGTTCGAACTTAATTCATGTTGATTTTTCGTATAATAATATAAATGATATTGATATGAATTTCTTTAAAGCCAATCGACAATTACAAACAATAAATCTTTCTCAGAATAATTTAACATTAATGCCTTTAATTGATGGAGGATATTTCGTTGATTTTCCTTCAACAATTATATTAATGAATTTTAGTTTTAATCAAATAGTTAGTGTAGATTTTTGGCCTCTATTTGTTAAAACAAGTAAATAAAAAATATATCTTGTTTTTTTTTTCTTCTTTTTATAATTATTTTCTTTTTGCTATGTTTAGGAAATACGATGGAAATTGATATGAGTAATAATTTAGTTGAAAATTATACAAATACTGTTCCAATATCTTTAGAACAGTTTAGTGAAACACCAGATCCACGATATTTCTATTTAAATAATAATCGTCTTAATCGTTTATCTGATCTTTTACTTGAACAATATGGTGCATGTTCAACAAAAAATTTAATAAGTGCAGCTTATTTTATTGTTGGAATATCAAATGTATTATTAACAAATAATCAATTAATATGTGATTGTGAATCTTATAATTTAATAACATATATTAATGATGGTATAAATGATTTTCCTGAAATTAATAATGGTACTGCTTTATTAACACAAGCATTATGTTCATTACCTCTATCAATGGCTGGACAAAAATATATTTTTACAAGTTTTATTGAATATAATAATTGTGAAAATTATACATTACCAAATATTACAGATATTTTTTGTTCACTTTATATCAACGATAGTAGAGTAACATTAACAACACCTACTTATTGGCCAAGTACAACAACAACAACATATAAATATGAAACTAATTCAACAACAGGAATAAATGTAAATTTTTTTGATTTATTTTATGAAACACAATCTAAAAGGAGTTTTCACAAGTATGTAGAATAGAGATTTGTACCTCCCCCCCCCCCCCCCTCCCCACTCAGCAACAGACTGTGACAGACGCTGGCCAGAAATCATCGCAGGCTATATATCAATAATAGCTTATTATAATATATTAATTACTTTTTAACTATATTTCTGGAGATGTTGCATTGCATTTCACACTTTAATCTCGTACGGATTGCGCTAACAGTTCTTTTTAACTGAATTTTAGAATGGAAATACAAATGCTTCATCGACTTCTATTGCATGGTATATTATCTTGGGTATTGTTCTCGGTCTAGTAGTTATTTTAGCAATAATTATAGCTGTGTTTTATCTATATCAAAGAAAGTTTTCTCCAAAAACGTACAATTTAAAGACTGTAAATAATGCTCAAACTGATGAAATAACATCACAAAAAGATTTCAAACTCAATGAAATAAAATCACGTCGTGTTTCAATGTCAACATCTACATGTGAATTTGATAATCAAGGAAAAGAAACACAATTGGTATTATTATTATTATATAATCTTTATGTTTTTCTGTACATTTTTATTTAATAGGGTGATGATGGTTTACATTTAAATCTGAATTTACCAAAGGGCCATTCATGTAAGTCGTATATGTTTATAGACTTAATTCTGAATAATAAAAAACTGCCAGTTAGTAATATAAGGTAACGGAACATATAAATAATCTATTGAAACTGTTTAGTTTCTTTTGTATTATGTAAACATTCTTATGGTCAGTGAAAATAGAAGATGATCATAACCTACGAACTCTGCAAGCCAAAAATTGAGAGCCGGAACAATGAGCATGAATATTTAAGCACGCAAAAAATGAAGATAAATATAACGTCTATTGACACACGCATAAATGTATGTGAGTATGGACATTAGTCTTCTCTTCGCTTCCATCCGCATTCACATTCTTCACTTTCATTTTTTATTGTGTGCTGAATATTTTCGTGCTTATTGTTCATCAATTTTCAAAAATTAGTGCCATAAAAAACTTTTCTATCATCCATAGATAATAATTACACACGCTTGAATTATTTATGAAAAATCAGTATGAGAGACGGATGGATTTCTCTGTTCAATTCGAATCTACACAGTAATCTTTTGGGTAGATGATTTCAGGTACTATGTGTAAATGATTTAAATGTATTAAGAGTAGAATCGAAGATGTTTGAAACTGTATAGTTGGATTTTAAAATAATAGTCTCAATATTTATACTTTTATAAAATTTTTTGCATTCACCTTGATTTAGACATCAACCAGCTCTACTGTATTCGCCTCTAATTATAACTAACAAGGAAAGCTCTCCAGATGCTAAAAAGCTTTTGAGCTCAAATTTTCCCCATAGGCAGGGAATGTATAGACTAGAAAAATCCCTATAAGGATATGGGTCCAAGTTACGATTTAGCTGAGATATCGACTTTTTCCTACAATCTTTCTATAGGATTCGACTTTTTCGGTAAAATCAAAGTTTCAGATCAAAACTTGAAACTTTACATACATTGAGGTCTCCATCAGACTAACTTGTCTACAAAGTTTCAGAATTTCTGAATGAATTATCTCCGAGATATGGGTTTTTGAAAAATATTCGTGCATAATACAATATCTACAAAAAGCGTTTATAAGCTAACATGTCGGTATCTCGGAGATAATTCATTCAGAAATTCTGAAACTTTGTAGGCAAGTTAGTCTGATGGAGACCTCGATGTATGTAAAGTTTCAAGTTTTGATCTGAAACTTTGATTTTACCGAAAAAGTCGAGTTCTATAGGAAGATTGTAGGAAAAAGTCGATATATCAGCCAAATCACAACTTAGGTCCATATCCTCTTAGAGGTTTTCCTAGTATATACATTCCCTATCTGTGGGAAAAATTTAAGCTCAAAAACTTTTTAGCATCTGAAGAGATTCTCTCGTAAGCCCTATCAATCTCATAACCCCGAATTTTACGGTACAAATATTTTTTTTTGTCTCAGTCATCTATAGCACAAATCAAAACCTAAATTAATCTCGAGTCTTCTATTTCATATTATTCACATTGTAAAAAGATTATCAGGTTATTCAACTAGCTTATTCTATTCAGAATAATTATTTTGAAAAGAAAACTATTTATATAGCTTTAAATGATGAAAATAATCCTGAACAAGAAACTCAGACATGTATTCAACCTATTCGTTCAAAACCACCCATTGGTCGTTCACCTTCAACATATGGTTCTCAACAAATCGATAATAATCATATACAAAATACATTACAACGTAAACGTAAATTATCATATCCACTAGCAGCAACTGATGTTGCAACAAATACAACAAATGTTGTCAAAGGTATTCCCATACCATCAGTATCGACAAAACCTCAATCAATATTTTCAAATGGTACTGATACAATACCTAATGTAGATAGTTCTCAATCAAATATAGCTTCTATTCCACTTGTACCATCAAAACGAGCAAAAGTTTTACCACAAGTTAAAAATGGAATCTATACTGATTCAAAAAATGATAATTTATTAAATACAACAGCAGGTGCACTTATAACTGATCAAAGACAACGACGACGTAGTTCAATATGGCTTCGAAAACAAACTCAAAATATGGTATCACCATTACCTCCTCGACCTCAATCGATGGTAACACGAAAACATGCACTAGTAGATTCTGATGTATCATTTGATGAAAGTATACACTGGACTCCAACCAATGAAAGTTTAACAAATAAATCATCAAAACCTTTACGTACGGTACCATTACTTAATATTTCTGTTGTACCTGCTTGGATAGATGACAGTAATGATCAAATGTGAAAAGAAATATTTTCTTATGAACTAAATAGAAAAACCTTTTTGTTTTACTAAATCAAATGATATTCGATTGTTAGCTGAATTATATTATAAGCTTTATTTTGATTATTTTCTTCGATTAAATAAACGAGCTTGATTTGATGACTAATTAAATAGAAATAAATACTTTTTTTTTTTGGTTTATTTATCAATATGATTTTTTCGACAAAACGAAATATAATAGACGAACAATAAGAAAAATTTGGATCAGACTCTATCTAAAACCTAATTATTTTTATGAAAATTAATAGATTAATCTTTATGTTTTTAATTCTCAATTCTATAATAATAATAATATTAATAATAATGATAATAATAATCTCTAATAGAAAATGAAAACCTATTATTGAAAAGAGAAAAAAAAAAGAAGAAGGATAGAATAAATAATAAAGTTGTAAGAAATAAAACCTAGGCTAGGACGGATGATACAATATAAAAAAAAAACGTTCTCTTTCGACACTTAATTATTGATTAGGTACAACTTGTCCAAGTCCACTTTGTTGGAGAATAGTAGCTATAGTTGGATCTGCTCCAGCAAATAAACCTGCGTGATAAAAATTATCATTAGTACTATTATAACTTGGTATATTTGTTTGATAATTAGTTGTTGTTGAATATGATTGTTCACCAACATTTTGTTGACCACCTTGAAAAAATTTTTGAAATTCTTGTCGACTAATTGAACCATCTCGATTTGTATCAGCTAAATTAAATACTGCTTTAGCAGCATCAAAATTTTGTCCACCATAAACATCACCAAATCCACCTATATTACTGCTTATACCAGTACCATCAAAATCGAAATTAAGATTTTCACCACCTGCATGCATTGTTCGTGCTGTATTAAACATATGATGTTGATAATTAAGAGAATCAACTGTTGTATATGCTGGACGAACACTAATACCAGGTGGTAATTGTCCACCAAGAAAATCACTACCTGATTGAAAAGCAGCATTAAAACCTCCCATAGCTCCATAATCAATATCTAAAATAACATCTTTAAAAGCATCAGGACCAAGTAATTCATTATAAACTTGATGAGCTGGTATTTGATTTTGTAATCTTGAAATAAAAAATTTAAAAAAAAATTCCGTTTTTTTTAGTTATTAATTTTTTTTTTGTTAAATAATGGAAAGATATTTACAATGCTTGTTGTGTTTGTGGTTGTTGTTGTTGTTGATGATGAAAAAATTGTCCATGGGGTTGAGGAAAAATACCTTGACTTTGTGGTCGAAATTCTTGAGAACCACTTAAATTAAGTTGATTAAGATTTCCAGGATTGACTATGTTTGGAGCAGGAGCTACACGAGGTTGTTGTTGAATAGAACTAGTACCATGACTTGATATAGATTCACCACTTGTCGATACTGTTGAACCACCTAAACATTCAATTCATGAAAATCTATCTACATGAAGATCTCTCATACTATAAGGACTAATTTCAGGTTGAAGTCCATGTTGTTGATATTGTTGTTGTGCTGCTGTTACATCAATTCGAATTGGTTGTTGAGTAACAACATTTGTCGAAACTACAGGTGGTTGTGTTGGATAACCAGTTGGTCGTTGTGGTCCAAAAGTTCCAATACCTGTACTTGTTTGTTGTTGTAAAATAGGTGGTCGAATTATAGGAATACCACCAACAACTGATTGTTGTTGTGAAGCAGTTGTCGCATTTGTAAAACCTGTATCAGTTGCTGTTGTCAAACTAACTGAATCGTATCCTGTACCAGAAGCTGTTCCTGAGACATGACTTATTGGTGATGAAACAGTTCGTAGAGTTCCTGTTTCAGCTAGTGAAGTAGCATCGATAGTATTTGTTACTGATGGGGCATAGACACGTGATTCACTTTGAGATGCATCTCTTGATGTTTCACTAAAATTACGCTCACGTCTTGATACTTCACTCTCTGAAGATGATGATGATGACGATGTACGTGTTGTCATGATAATACTATATTGAATCTAAAAATTGATCTCAAGGTCTAACAGTGCAATAATAGACGCTTTTTATTGTGGCTACGAAAGTAAAAAGGAGAAAAGAAACGAAAAAAAAAATTATCGTTCGTAGTTGGGAGAAATCGACCAAGCGTAACGAACAATAAGGACAAGAGTAAAGAGAAAAAAAGAGAAAAAAGTAGGACCTATATACATACATGCTGTTGTCAACTAAACATGTATACATCTATATCTTATATTGAACATTATCGCGTTCGCTTCAATCGTGAGATCGAAATAATTATAAAAAATGATTTTGTAATTTTTCTTTTTTTTTTAAAATTTGTATTGACTCTCTGCTTAATGATCAAAAGTTCAATACATATCTATATATATCTATCGATAGATGTCACAAATATCTAGTTTATAATATTCTTTCATATTGTATAAAACATTGCAAGTTGTCTGTACAAATATTTTCATATTCTCTTCGTCAATTTATTTGACATACACTTATGTTGATGTTTTATTCTACTACATTGAGAATTTTATTTTTCATCCAATATTCATACTGGATAGTATACACATACAAAAAAAAAGTCATGAATAAAGTAAGATTGCCATATGCGTAGGATAGGAAAAAATTTCTCTTTTTTTTTTTTTTTTTTGTTTTAATGAATGTTGTTATTTTGTAATCGCATCTGGTGGTTGCGTTGGCATATTTTTCTTCTTCCATTCTTCATAGAAAGAAGTAAAATACAAGCTGTTACACTAGTGTCATTAACTATTGACGTTGTCTCACTAACGTTTTGTTCACTAAGTTGTTCTATGATTCGTAATATAAGTAACATGTTATCATAAGTGTGATTGGCATTTCATTTTCTATTTTCTTATTCATTTCTTTATCATAGTATCGTGTAAAACGAGAAGTATCGATTACTCTCTTTTATCTATTCTATAGTATGATAAAACATCATCAATTTTTGTTGTATATATTATTGTTTCATTTATTGATTTTGATCATTGTAGATAAGTATTACATAGTTTTCATACTATATACAATGAATATTCAACATATTTTATTTGGATTATTTGTTATTATTCAATTAGGTAAGATGAATTATAAAATAATTTATTTTGTAAAATTGAACTAAATGCTAAATTATTAATCTTAATCATTGTGTTGTTTTCTTTTTAATACATCGAAATGTTTAGAAAAAAAAAAAACTTATGTATGAATATCATTTTGTAAAAAAAGAAAAATTCAATTGTCTTTCAATTCAATAAGAACTTGCTTTGAAATAACTGAAGTACTAATTTATTATGTATTAGACAACTATAAAGTGTTTTCAAAATTCCATAGGGAAAAAGAATGTAAATAACTATTGAATAATTCAAGTCATATACATGAATTTTCTATCATTTTATTTCAACTTTCTTTAAAGTTTTATTTTATATAATTTTATTTGCATTCACTGTTTAAAATACTCATACCAAAAATGAAACTCTTAAGTCTACTGTTTTCAAATTTTTGAAAAATAAAACATTGAATAGAATTTCTATTGAAGCTATTGCATTTTTCTCATCGATTCCTCTTGTTAATTCAGTTTGATCTTTAACAAACATTGTCGTTCATGTGTTATTGTATAAAGAATTCTAGATATACAAAGTTCAATGAGTATGAAGCTTATTGAAAAAAATCATCTCTTCAAATGCCTATGTTAGAGAAAATGTTGTATAGAAGCTGATATACTGTCTCATTCAATAGAAAAAATAGACTTCTAAGAAGTAGATTTAAGACATTCGTAGAGATTTATTATTAAGCTCAAAATCAGGATGAAACTAAAGTAATTACTCATATGATTTCGAACCGTCGAAATATTGCCGGTATACTGTCAGTATTGCGAATAAACGTACGATATGAATAATTCTGCTTCAAAAAAAAATACGAAATGAATGGATTGCTCGAGCTTGAGCTTTGTTCATTCACTTCCATATTTTTTTTTCTCTAATAAATTGCATGTTTTAGTCGTCAGTTTTCTTTACCAAGAATATTTTTATGTCAAATTCAACGTCTGATCTATTTTATAAATATGAAATTTCATCAGTAGGTATAAGTAGATAAACAAAATCAAAGAAAAAAGATATAATATTTCAACTAACGATCGTTTTATTTGTCACTATTTGCTAACTATTAGTTATGATATTACTTTAGTGTTTAATGAAAATGATAATCAATTTAGAAAAAAAAATAATAATTCTTGAAAATCTAAATTTGTTAGAAAAAAAAATCTCTTTTTATAACAAGTTAAACTCTATGCTTTTTCTGATCATTGTTTCTTCTTATACTGCTTAACTAACAGAATGCTTCTTCTTCTTCTATAGTCATATCATCATATGAAGCACCGTTGGATCAAAATAATACTAACATTACAACTCCAAATGGCGTCACTGATGTTGTAACAACACTAATTACATCAACTGTTGCACCTATTGCCACTTCGACAGCACTAACAGCAGAATCGAGTAAACATTATTTAAAAAAAAAAAAAACTTTTTTCTTTTGCCTTGTTTAACTAATCTTTAATTATTTTCAAAAAAACCTAAAAATAGAATTTTAATTTGTTTATTTTAGCCACAACAGAAAGTGTAACCAGCAGTGAAACAATAATTGCATCAACAACAACAACAACAACAACAACTGTAACTACTACAGCTGCAAGTATAACAACACCTTCAACAACTAATTCAGCAATAACATCAACTCCAACGACAATGATATCACCTACAACTAAAGCACCCGGTATAATAATTATTTAAATTTATATTTTAAAAATTCGAGAAAAATGAGTTTTCTTCGTAGGTCGCAAGTTTGATATGTCTTCATTTATCGGTGGCATAATTCTTACAATTGGTCTCAGTGCAATTATATTTCTCATTGTAAGCTATTTACGTCGTCATAATCGATTACCTTATGCAAATCTACGATAAATATTCATGAATGAGTTAGTTTTTCTTTTGTGTTTGTATTAAAAGACAGTATCCTATTCTGAATTTGGATATTTTTTTTTTATTATGTTAATCAAAAAAAGAAATTTACTAACATACTATTAATTATAAATAAAGTTAATGATAATTTATGCACAAGAAAATCGTAAAAATTTATTAATGAAATATCTATGGTTCTCATTTTTTGAAATGAAGAAACACAAAAAAAAAACATCTGTTGAATATAATAATTATGTGTCGTTGAATTTGAAATATAATCGTGAAATGAAATGTTCTGTTATTTCTCTTTCTTTTGCTATGTCAATAATGAGGATTTGATTGAATATTGCACTCTTATTGATATGCAGTGTCCTTGGTTGAAGATATATTTATATATGAAAGCAAGAGGAAACATGTCGAAATATATTTTATAGAGAAGAAAAGAATAATTTAAAGCATTATTGAAGATTTAAGTTTATTCATTTTATATATTACGTGTTATTGATTGTACAGTTTGATAACAATGTTATTAACGAAGAGAATGGTTTGTATGTGAGAATTAATTTGAAATATATAAAGCTATGCTGTCTCATGAATGAAAATTTATATTAGAAGATTAATAAAGTATATGATTAATTTTAGGAGATCTCATGAAACAAAATTAAAACAAAAAATATGATTTCGTACTTACAGTTTATTAGTAGTTACCTATTGAATAAAAGACAATTTATTTAATTTCATATTCTTTTTATTTCAGAAAAACTTCTTTAAGGAGACTATTATAATGAAAATTGTGCTTCTATAATGATCACAATGTAGAATAACTTCGATTCGTTCAAATTCTCTTGAACTATATTGATTAATTAATGTTTTCAATCTAGAATTTTGATTAGAACTGATCGTATTTCTCTTCTATTCCAATTAAATGACAATAATAGTTTATTTCGTTTATAAATAAACGAATGTCCCATAATAAATAGTCAGTTTTTGCTCTTGATGTTTATTTGTATCTGCTACAATTTATTTAAAATCAAAATATATCATAAAACATGGCATCGTTAATACTCAAATCTGCACAAAAAATGTTACTTAATATGTGCACTTTTTTAAAAAGCCGATCAAATCCTACTTGGTCAATTTTCGACGTTGTGTACAAGACTGTATTTTTGCTTCATGAGTAATATCTTTTTTTTCTATGTCATCCAATTAATGAGTTATAGCGTTTAAGTTTATCCCAGTGCTCATTGTGACCAATATCATCCTACACATAATTATCTAACATGTTGAAGTCCGGACTCTTCGACGGACGTTTATTTTCATCGATGAATCGAATGAAGTTGCTCTTTAACCATGATAGTGAATCTTTATGCATATGCGATCTTGCATTATCTTATTGAGAGATAAAATCATTACTTACCTAATAGTCTTTAATCTTTAGCTTGTATATGTGGAAGAACAAGTTCAATATAATTTGTATGTTAGCCCTTTGACGGCGATGGTCGTATATATACGGCTTCAAAATTTGAATAGGTTAGTAAAGGGACTACTCACTAGTCCCATATACAGTATATAGCGATAACTTGATGAAGCTCACTAGTGGCATGCTGTAAGCATTAACGCTATCTTTCGTAAGGCACTATCATTAATTCATATGAAACCACTTATTTTATTTAGCATTCGAAAATGTTTCGTTGAAATAGTATACATACCCAGGTCAACGATTATGGACTTCGTATACGGAGAAA